GCCCATATAGAACTATGTTCAGATTCCTGAACCTACCATGCCCTTTATACTTTTGTGTCTGTACGTCTACACCAGTCTTACCATTATCTTAAGGAATTTCATCGATCGAAAGCTGAGAAATTGGCTCAGGGGTTAGGAGTACTTGTCGCTCTTCCAAAGGACCCAAGTTCAGATCCCAGCGCCATGTTGGGCAGTTCAGAACTGCTTGAAACTGGAGTTACAGAGGATCTGATGCCCTCTTCTGGCCTCTGTAGACACCCAAACATGTGTGGTAGACACAAAACTCCATACACATAAACTTAACAAAAACTTTAAAGTTCTAACTACACCTGTAACACTTTATTACCCTTGCTTATGCCTCCTAGACCTTCACTTCCTCAGAAGCAGAAACCATGTCATTAATTTTTTTCTCCTCAGAGCTTACCTTTGTGCCCAACATAGATTGTGATAGTATTATCTGGAGAGGTAGCACCACCAGGCTAAACAGATATAGAATATGGAAGTGGATTACTAGGAACATTGGCTCACATAATTTTAAAGGCTGAGAAGTCTCCCACCGGGCTGTCTGTAAGGAAGTCTCCATGGTGCCAATAAGGAGGCCCAGCCCACGTCCCAGTCTTCAGAACCAGAGGAACTGATCATCTCTCAGGGTAAAGCCAGAGGATGCTGAGACACAGTTGAGTCCTAGAAGGCGAAGACCTGAGAGTCTAGCATTCTGCCCTCGAGGAGGACAGAATTCAAGAGTTCCAGGTTTAGGAAAGAGGAACTCACCTTCTGTCCAGTTTGTTTTTTCTGGTCCCCTAACTGATTGGACGGAGCCTGCCCACAGGGAGGGCAGATCTTCCCATTCAGATTAGCAATTCATTCACTGAAGTCCTCTTTAAACACCCCTGTGGGCACACGCAACAACAGTGTTTCACTAGCCAGTGTTCTAGGTACGCCTTGCTTGAGTCTAAGTGACGTGTAAAACTATTATACACTCATTCATTAATTACTTGCAGACTAGCGAATAAATGAAAGAAAGTCTAACAGGTTTAGGATCCTAGAGCACTAAGACACAAGCTTGAGACAAGCCTAGGCAATGCAATGAGTCTCCTTCCCAAATGTTAATAATTTTAAAACAATTTGAGAAAAAAATAAGAATCAGAAAAGACAAACTTCACACACAAAAAAATTACTCTTCTAGCTGCTAACAACACGCAAAATAAATCGAACTAAAAAGAAATGCCAAATGATAGGTATCCCCGTCTGCCAAGCTTGGAGAAAGAGACTTGGGACTGGTTAGATACTAGCTCCCAAGGAGTAGAGGATGGTACAGTCAAATAGCATAAGGCTTGTGGATGAACGCGCAGTGGAAACAAACAAAAAAGTGACAATACTGCCTCCCAGTGGCGTTTGGTAGAAAGGCCGCTACCCCGGGGCCCTTTTAAAGGCCTTATGCCCTTAAAAGGATCTATGGTCCGTCCTGTGCTTCAGACTACCCTGTTTCTTTATCCCATGAATACCCCTTCAACCATACCCTTGGGGAGGAAGACTTGAGATGTAAGACCTCTTAATATTGCCTGTCTCTTGAATAAACCCTCTTCCAAAAGCCCTTGCCTAGGACGATTGACAGATGAATGGTCCTGGCTCCCAAGAGAGACTCTTTGTACTGAGTCTGCAGTAAATCTGTTCCGACTTCCTTCTCTAACGGCCACTTCACTGAGCCACGCCAGTGGGTAGGGGACACTCTGGCACACTTCAGACTATTAAAAGTAGTTTGTTAATTGCTTTTTTAATTGTTTGGTTGTTGTTCATATCGTTTCTGTTTTGTTTTGAGGCAGGGTCTCCCTGTGCAAGGGTTGCCTGTTGACCTGAAACTTGATAGATCATGCTGGCCTTGAATTTACTGGAGTCCTTCTGACTCTGCCTCCTGAGTACTGGGATTAAAAGTGTGTGCACCACCACCCGACTGTTTATCGGGTTTGGTTTGGTTTGGTTCTTTTTGAGACAGGGTTTCTCTGTAGTTCACTGTACCTCCAGTTTCCAGGGAATCTGGTGCCCTCTTCTGGCCTCCGTGGGTGCACATAAAAACTCATGCAGGCACACACACATACACAAAATTTCTTTAATTAGCCTTTAAAAATTAAATTAAAAAATAAAATAAGAACAATAAGAAAATTAAAATTCTAAAATGTAAAAAACTTAGTTACAAAGAAATTAACTACATTTTAAAAATCTGATTTTCGAGTGGCACAATACTGACGTGTTATCAGACTGCCCATCTATTCCATAACTGCAGGAAGATACATCTTGACACCCCAAGACTGGCAGATTAACACACCAGTGGCAAGTGGGCTTCCTGCATGTTTTTTTTAAAGCTATGATTCTTCACGTTTTTTCTAATTCATGTTTCAGTATTCCTGGGTGTTCTGTCTGAGAGACTAAATATAAAGGCTGTGGTCAGAGAATATATGAAAATAAAATTCTAAGCGGAATGGAATTGAGAACACGGAAGTGAGTGTATGCGTTTATAGCCAACTGATTTCTGGGAAAGGCGTCAAGAACATACATTGGAGAAAGGACAATTTTTCACTACGTGGTACTGGTAAAATTAGATATCCACGTGCAGAAAAATGAAACCAGATCCCATTCCTAACAAAACCAACCGAGTACAATCAGCCAACCTTGATGAAAATGGATTCGAGACAGCTGGGTAAGGTGTTGGACACCTGTAATTCCTGCACACCTGTAATTCCTGCACCTCTGATTCCTGCACACCTGCAATTCCTGCACCTATAATTCCTGCACACCTGCAATTCCTGCACATCTGTAATTTCTGCACATCTGTAATCCCTGCACCTGTGATTCCTGCACACCTGTAATTCTTGCACCTGTAATTCCTGCACACCTGTAATTCTTGCACATCTGTAATTCCTGAACACCTGTGATTCCTGCACACCTGTAATTCCTGCACCTGTAATTCCTGCACACCTGTAAATCCTGCACTCCTGTAATTCCTACACCTGTAACTCCTGCACACCTGTAATTCTTGCACCGGATAAGAGAATCACTGCAAATCGAGGCCGGTGTGGTCTACATAGTGAGTTAGTTCCAGGACATCCAGAGCTAAACAGAGAAACCCTATCTTGAAAAAACAACAAAAATATCAAGCCAACAAGGTCAACATTGCCACAGACAGCACTAATTGGACACAGTGGGTTATAATAAACATCAGGAGAGACACAAAGGGGGAAGGATATATGTTGGGGTTCCTGGAGGAAATGAAAGGGAAGAGTTGGGTGCATACAGTCAGGATACTTTGTTTAGAAGCTGTAAAAGTAGCTCAGTTATTAAGAGCACTGGCTGCTCTTCCAAGAGACCCTGGTTCAATTCCCAGCACCCACACAGTGACTGATAACTGTTTGTGACTCCAGTCCCAGGGGATCTGATGCCCTCTTTTGATCTCCATAAGTATCAGGCATGCAAGTGGTACACAGACACACATTCAAGCACAACACCCATAAACACAGAAATAAATAATTTTTAAAAAAGAAATGTTTACGTGTGTGAAATTTTCAAAAAAATAAGTAAAAGATACTCTAATAAAAATAAAATTGCCTCAAAAAATAAATAAATAAAATTGGAGTGGGAAAAATAGATCAGCAACTAAAAACACTGGCTGACCGGCTGTTCTTCTAGGACCCCAAGTTGATTCCCAGGACCCATGTGGTGACTCACAAACATCTGTGACGGCAGTTCAGGGGATATGATGCCGTCTTCTAACTTGTAGGCACTGCATACCATGTGGTGCAAAGACATACATGCAGGCAAAATGCCCATACACATAAATAAAATAAATAAATTGTATGTATGTATATATGCATATGTGTGTATATATATAAACAAAGCTATATATTTATATACCACCCCACCACCTCTAAGATACAAAAAGACAGGTGGACCTGACGGTCCTGCTGCCATACTGTGTTAAAAAAGAAAAGCAGGCATCTAGGTGTTAGCATGGAGGCATGGAGGCGTGACCTGCAAGAAGACACTTTCACAGCTGGGTCTGTTAGTGCCCCCTGATGAAAGGCATTTCATCTTTTTAAAATATACATACAGGGTTTCTCTGTGTATTTCTGACTGTCCTGGAACTCTCTGTAGATCAGGCTGGCCTCGAACTCACACAGATCTGCCTGTCTCTGCCTTCCATGTTCTGGGATTAAAGGCATGCGCCACCACTACCCAGCCAAAAATAATAATTTAAAAAACACTCTATAGTCCAATGTTGTATGTTAATTAAAAGTAAAAATAATACCAAAAAAATTGTTGGGCATGGTGTCACACGCCTTTATCCCAGCACTCAGGAGGTAGAATCAGGCAGATCTCTGAGTTCAAGTTCTGGTCTACAGAGTGAGTTCCAGGACAACCAAGGCTACACAGAGAAACCCTGTCTCAAGGAGAAAAAAAAAA